CTATAGAATGATAGGTGTCTTTTTTTGCGAGTGTAAAACACGTAAATACACCATTTCGAGTATAATTGCACCTTTAGTCTCCCTGTCAAGTTTAAGGCTCTATCTGCAGATCTTAGCCATTAATCTGTTATTTTTAGCCTATGATAACTATTTATATTAAGAAGCCTTCTTTATCAGTGTAAATTAAAATACTTAGAATTGTCTACTGGAAAATCATAAAAAGTTGAATTCCTTTGTCAGCTGTTTTGAAAAAATGTATGTTTTATTGATGACATAAAAGTTTATACTTCTGTTATCAAGTTTATTATTGTATTTGTTAGATAACATGCACAGGAGACGCTTATTTCAATTTTTGGCATGGATAAAACTCTAGCATTAGTTAGACATTAAGATGTTACAATTCATTTCTCACCATTAGTGTACACCACATATGTCAATAGAATAACTTTCTATAATATAACAAAGGGAGAAACGATCCTTGGAGAGCCTGACCAGATCCTGAACTTAGGAAAAACTGAGATTCCATACAGCATCTTCTTGGAGTTTATATTTGCCTTAGGAGAGTCTTCTTATAGGTAGGATTGATCCAACAATTTCTGTTTTTCGTGCATTAATATTTCCTTCAGTAAAAAGAGTACTTAGTGTCTAAAAATGCTTTTAACCGTGATGAAATGTTCTGTTCTTGCTCTAAGCTTATATTAATTATGCATTTATCAGTAGCCATAGTGTGTTGACATTTTGCTGGAGTTGTTTGTTTGAGCATAGTGTATAAGGAAGTTTGAGGTTTTAGACTTAAAATTCAAAGCCGAAAAACAGATTGTTTATTCGGGTAAACTCATGACGTAGTTTGCAAAATACTTGTTATGAGACATTTCTCTTATTTGTATTAGATCAATATTTTATTATATATGTATATATAAAATGAATAATTTCAAGCTAACATAGCATTAAATCATTGTTTGCTTGAACATTGTGTTTTGATGGTATAGTTTGATGCTAATTGTTAGGTACCTGGCTGGCAATGAGCTAGTGTGGGATCGCTGAAACATTGTTAGAATAAACAAGGAATTATTCACTTGAACATTATTTTTATGTTGTGGTTTAATGCTGTTAGGTGTTTGCCTGGAAAAGAGCCAGTGTGAGGTGGCCGAAATATTGCTATAATATACAAGGAAAATGAGGTTCTCAGTTTCTTTAAAGACTCAAACTTTAGGGAATGATTTAATGTCTGGTAAAACAATATTGTAATTTTTCTAGTACAGTTTGAAAAACATCTTCAGAAACTGATTTCCTTACTAATATTTGTCTCAGAGTGTTTCATATACACATAAGCTTCCATTATTAGATCTCATGCATTCTTGCTCAGAACTAAGTTTTTATTTTTGCATTTACCACATATTTTGGAACTGTACCTCCTGATGAAGGTTTCTTTGATATTTTATGTTCTCTGTATAAAAAAATCCCTTTTATGATTATAGACTTTCTGCAAAATAAAAATGTCTAACAATTGTAAGATCAGTTTGAACTCAATTCTTGTTGTAAGTTTCAAGGGGTTTCTTAACCAGACACAGTACAATATATCCTAAAACTATTGGAGTAATCTTTAGAAAATCTTAGGTGCTGCATCTGGTTACTTGGCCAGTATAGTTCCATATGGAATACCAGGAATACCTATTTTATTCTCCAGCTGCTTGAGGTATGGGTGGAAAACTCATCTTGGTGAACCCATTCTCTGTTGGTCTAGTTTCCAGGCAGATATCGTTCTTGATTATGTTGTGTACTGTTGCCTAAGGCATGTGGACAGTTCTTGCTACTGACCTTTGTGTTTATAGATTCTCATATGTTACATGATGCTGCACTTTCTTTACCACAGCTGGTGTACATCATGTTGCAGGTCTCTTTCTTGATGGTCTTGGAACCCAAAGTTGATCCATATTTTTTTATTTTCTAATACTATTGATGTTTGATTTATTATAGTTTCAGCATATGCAACAGACTTTTGAGTTGGAAAGGGCTAATATATACCTTTCCAAATGGCAGTCAATTTTCAGTGTCATCATACCATGTAGTATAAAGTTAAAAACCAGTGAGAGTGAACATTTCAGTACGTGAGAGTTTAATCTCTTGAAATTTCCCTCTTCACACATGGTGATTGTTCCACTGAGAGCTCTTATTATGTTAATAGGGGAAGGATGTTGCTGTAGTGGCAAGAACACTTCACTACACTTTGTAATTTTGTATATAGAGGGTGGAAACAACACTGAGATTGATTAGTCGATTTTCCATTGGGTTGAGCTTTGGTGTAACCCAACAATGACTAGATCCCAGTCTTTCTACTTTGCTCAGAGGTTCAGTGGAGTCCAGGGATGGACTGATCAAGTTTAGGGTCAGATGCTGGGGACCAGTCATTCCAGGCAGTTATCTCTCTGAAGCACTTCAGAAAATGGTCTAGATATTCTTTTGAACATGAGTGGCAAAATCTGCTTTGCCTCACTCACAGTGACCTGTGGTTTTGGCTAAAGTCTCCCACTTACAGATTTTTGACCAACATGTGGCTGAGAGGCCATCAACATTGCAGGTACAGTGTAGTAAACATATTCAGGTGCTATGTCCTTTAGATGAATAGTTGTTCCCTGGTCTAGGACAGCAGAGGGACAAGTTTCTCTAGTAGCTCATTAATTAACTCTATATGACCTCATGTTTCTCTATGGACATTATACCTCTTGGCTTATAGAGGCTTGCATCATTTTGCTTTATCATTTTTAATATCTGGTATCTGTTCTTTCACTTTCTGTAGAAACAGCTCTGACAAGCAGATTTTGTCCACCAGTGGCACTTCCAATATTTCTCGGCTGGTCTTCACCAAAATCTGTATGTATTATTTTCCAATCTGAGAAAGCATCATGCTATATACTTAAAACTACAACATCAATCTTTCCCAGAGCATTTAGCTCCACCCGTGTGACTGGTCATTTCCATTAGGAAATAAGGGATGTTGTAACCTTAAGGTATCACTTAATCTACCATTGAAGAAAACTGCTGTCTACTTTCATACATTAAGTGCAGTGTTACAGTTGTATTTGCCATGAGCAGACAAGCTTTATTTCTGTTGCACAAAATAAAACAATAGGTAGCTAGAGTGAAAGTAAACTAATGACTTTCTTGTTATGTGAAAACTGAACATACCTAGAATAAATGGAAACTTTTGCATTCATATAGGAGAGAGCTAACATGATATACCACAGTACAATCATTTCATTGTGAACTTTAACTACATGTAGGAATTTTGGTTAAAATATCTCAGAAGAGTTGGTCACAAATAGTGCAAGACTTATATTGTATTTTGTCTACTATTATACAGTGTTGTGTTGAGAATACTTTATTCCAAATTAGTATTTAATTGTGGTAAAAGTCTTCATTTAGGTAAGATTTTCATTGTACTCTTGTCAGACTTCTACATGAAAATCATGTATTGTTTGTCCAATATTTCAAGTAAATGTCAGCTACATATACTAAGTCATTATGGTGGATTTACAGTTCTAGGATTATTCATTGCATGGTTATATTTTTAAACTTTAGATTTCATGCTATCTAATGTGGGAAAAAGTTACTTTATTTGAAAATTAAAACTCAAGTTAGTTATTTAAATGATTTATTACTACACATAAGACTTAACAAATGAAATAATTCTTGTTTTCTTTTTTGTTTCATTTTTGTAGACCTGGATGTTATGACCTCTTAAAACACAATTGTAATGATTTTAGTCAAGAGACAGCAGTTTTTCTGACTGGTCGTTCTATTCCACAGGAGATACTTGATCTACCTCAAGAAGTTTTGAACACGCAAGTTTATTAAAGTTTTTCAGATAGAAAAATAACAAATATTGTTTTATATCTTGTATATAAAATTTAAGTTTAATTTTGTAGCATGGTCTTAGTTTTTCAATTGACAAATTGAGTACTTGTTTCTTAACTTTTCTTTTGTTTTTACTTAGATATGAATTGAGTGGTTTGTAGTCTCTGTAGATTTACCAACATTGTATATCTTTTTTGTAAAAAATTTAAGATTATTATTATTTTATGACTTTTGTTAAATGAGAAAGCAGTTGCATGAGATGTTTAAATTTGTCGGTTTGGTGGTGTTTGTTTTATTCCATAAATATAAACGTTTGTATAATGCTGTGTGTAAGTATAAATTTCTTCTGTTATTAATGCTGCTAGTTACATTTACACTTTTAACTTGTAAGGAAGACAGACATTTTGAAAGAAAGCTTTTGTAAGCATCCACAAAGGTGTGAACCAACATACATGGTTTGAGTCATGAAGTACAGGAATATCTAAAAGTAGTTACCCTGAGTCAGACTCTAACTGCATTGGTATGTGTTTTATTAAACAATATTTTTTTATAATTTACACTTCTCTTTATTTAGTTCTCATGTATTATAGTTTTAATGATATATACAGATGATTACCAGTACACACTTAATATGTGTGGAGAAATATTTGAAATACCAAAATAATTTTTTGGAAAAAAAAAGCTATTTCATGATCATGTTTCTGTTATTTCTCTCTGTAATTTAAAGACAAAGTTACATAACTGGCATAATGATATTTGGCTTACCTATGCTTGTTTTCAAGTTTAAGGTAACTCAACACTAGGTATTTCTTAGCTTAGGCTTGGTATTTTTCACTCTAGAAAAAAATTAGGAATGCCAGGAACAAGATAACTTCCTGGCTCTTTCTAATTTTAGCCCTTTCCCTCCTGGAGACTAAAATTAGCAGCATGCTATGCAGACTCTGCGTGTGCCATGCTACTGTTGCTGACTATTGAACCCTGTACATTCTTGAAGATGAGGGTGGACTGAATGTCTTGTTTATTCTGTACTTCTTAACTTTTGGCAGTTGTTCATCAAAGAAAATGTGGGGTGGGGGGTGGAACTTACAAACACATGATATGTTAAGTTGTTCGTTGTCAGCTTTATATTTCTCTTTCAGTTCTGTTTACTAATTTTAATTTATGCTGTTGAGAACAAAGAATAAATTAACACAATGTGTGTGCCTCAAAATGTTTAAATAAGAGTGTCATATATATATATACAGACTTTTTGGGTATCTGTATGTTTGGGTAACTGAACAGTTCAAGGTCAACATATAGGTAATGACCTGTAAGTCATGATTTGTGTTAGGGACACTAATGTCAACATATAGAAAAAAATTTACTTTTTATTTTTATATTCCTTTTTTTAATGTCTTCTTGGTTTTAAGATAGATCATGAGCATAGTACTAAATCTCAATATCAGATTAGAAAGTCAAAGCTCTGTGACACAGATGTTTTTGTTTTCATAAGTTGTTTTTTTTCTTGAGCATCTATAAAATTTTGAGCTGAACCAAGAATTTGGAATATGTAATGACAAGGTCAGGTTTAAAAGTCGAGGTTAAGACATGAAACACGTGTGTTTTCTTCCTCAGTTTTCATTTTTTGAATGTTTTGAAATTTTTGAAATGGTTTTAGTAATTGCAAGGTAAAGTTTAAAAACATGTGAAACATGTTTTTTTTTATACTTCTGCCTATCTTTCTTTTTGAGCACATTCTAAGTCAAAGTAGTTCAGGTTTAAAATGAAAATTACCACATGAAACTAGTGCCCTGTCTTCGTTGTTTATTATTTGATTTTATAAGTATTTCTAAGGTTTAAATATGGTAATGTAAGTTCTGTGGTTGAGGAAAACCAACTAAAATAAAAGGATTAACTTTGGGGGCCAACTTGCTTAATAATAATATAAATATATATATATATATTTATTTATATGCACTGGTGTGTGCTTTATATTATTAGATATAAAGTGTAGTTGAACTCATGTTGCTGTTTTGGTTTATCAGAATTAAACATTTCTACTAATATTTATAATAAACCAATATCATATAAATTTGAAATATTTGTAAAGGTTTGATCAGTTTTATAATTCATTGGTTTGCTTTATTTTGTGTGTACTCTGGTCAAATTTTTGACACCAGTAACTAAATGAAAAGTGCCTAATCCAGCTGAGCTGTTCGGAAATTAAATTAAATCACTGGGGAAATCCTATGAAAATGGAGAAGTCTGATAACATGGGAAGCAACACAGTTTTGCTTGTAAGATAAATATGTGATTTCTACCCAATTCCTTGTAGAAGCATTATCCTTGTTTGTGTTCTTTTGTTCTCGAGTCATTTATTTAGCATGTGTACACCAGACTCTCTGTATCATAAATTTCTGATGCAGTAGTCATAATTCTTCTTTATGAGCAGAGTTCATTATATAAAAGTGGTTATCTTATATTTATTGAAATTTTTTCTGTAGTGCTTTTATAGAAACAATGTCATGAACTGAAGTAATAGCTGTATATATTTTATGTTTTAAATTCCCTCTGAGCATAATAAAAATTGCTTCAAAAAGAGAGCACAGTAAGTCGTAACATGCAGAGATTAGCAATTCAGTGTGTGAAATGTAAATGCAGAATGTCTTGGTTTTTCAACAAATGATGCCCTTGGTTCTATCAGATCACTACTGAAATGCTTTGTGTTTAAAAACCATCATCAGAATGGCAATTGGTTTAATTTTTACTCTCAGAACTGCCTCACGTCCACTACTGAGCTTAGGTATTCTGTTGTTGGGGTAGCTGACTAGCTTTCAAAATAGATAACACCGTTATGATGTTGGGAAGTACCAACACGTTTTGTATATGAAGTTATAAAAGCTTTTGATAGTTAAGTAACAATCATTAACAAGTATTCAGTATACAAGAAACATTTCTTTATAAGTTAACATTGGCTGTTGGTTAGAAGAGTAAAAATTGATTCAATATTTGGTCCTTATCTATGTGTAAAGATAGTTTCTCCAACATAATTTATGATATTTCAGTACTTCTGTGATAAGGAATTCAATTTATATTAAGTTAATTAACTTTGAACTTAATTTCTGAAATGCTCTCATTTTCTTTTTAGTTTACAGCAACATATTGTGATTTGTAGATTTTGTTTTTATGTTAGTCCAATTGGAGAAATGCTAAAAGTTGAAATGGATAAGCTTAATCTGCGAGCTGAAGGGTCGAAAGGATTAAGTTTTGGTGCTATCCCACCTCCTACCAGTCACAGATCGCAACAAAACCCATTTCCACCTAGGCCAAATGATTCAGCAAATAGAAGGGATACAAGGCAGCTGCAACCCCAAGACAAAGCAAAAGAAGATGTTAGTGTAGCTAATGGAGATAGTAGTAGCTCTCTTGCAGATGTTCAGGGAGCTACTATTCAAACAGATCAGTCATCAGTCTCTGAAGCAGATAAAAAAGAAAATATTTTGACCTGTGATCAGCAACAAATACAGTATTCTGAAGTAGCTGATGAAGAAACTGAACAAGTGCAACAGGTGCAATCAGAGACACTTGATAGTGTAGAAAACATTGAAAATTCTCCACAAATAGAACAACAGTCTTCAAGATCCTCAGAAAGCAGGTTAGAGGCAGATTTTGAATCAGATAGGCCAGAAAATACATCAGATAGCAGAGGTGAAAGGGCTAGAGAACCTCCTGTTGTATATAGTGACATTGATGTAAGTTGCTCGTTTAAAATGATATTTTTTGTTTTCGTATAAGTAAGATTAACAAACAAGTGTACATTGGTTACTAAAAGTAATGGAACAAGACACTTGGAGAAAAGGCATGGTCCACTGGTCCTGTTTTGATAGGAAAGGGGCTCACTTTTGGCCTTAATCATATCCTGGCCTCTGTTGCTAACACTTTCCACCAGTCATTGGTATAAAATAAAGTAGTAAGTGTTGTGAGATTTTGGGTTCTTTCCTTTATGTCCCTCGGATGGTGCACTAAAAGGTCCTATGGTTGATTAGCTGGGTTCAGGTTGGGGATCTTGGCTGGCCAAGGCAGATTCTAGGTGGTTTTTGTTTCAGACAACTTTTAGGCACAGTGCACAATATGACTGACGTGTAATGTTCCTTTCCCATCGAATGCTAAAAATACAGATAGAGCAACATCATCCAAAGTATCACAAGCACAAAAAGGCATTTATGACTCCCTTAACTGTTACAAGTAGATTGAGATTAAAAAAACTAAAATGGGCCCAGATCATGATACTACCCTCGTCACTGTTTAGGATGAAACAGTCATATCCAAAACCTCCTTCAGGTTGCTGTCAGACCCAGACATGCCCATCCAAAACAGACAATGATTAGCACAATTGGTCACACGAAATGTTCTATTTATTTTTCGTCTCACTTGTGATACAGCACTGTGACTTGGCATACGTGGCTGCAATAAGAGGCTAATGAACTGAGTGATGAATTTAATACTAGATTTGTGGTTTGTTGTCACATTGTATTAGAAAATTCACATGAATCAAGGAGTTATTCGTTTTGAGTGGGTGGGTAGACATCGTACATTGTTATGCAGAGTAGTCTTACAAACCATCAATACACTAGTCCTGGTGGCCTTGAGTATGAGAATGTGGGCTTTGATGTCTCGTATGCTCTTACTACCAGTTGTACATCCAATAACAATTTCTCTTTGAAAGCCTCTAGGCTCCTTTGGTCATAGCATGTTGACTCCAGTTAGTTGGCTATGTCAAATGCAGGCCCATATAAACTATGTAGTATTGTATTATGGAATTCAAATTCAATGGACTATACTAGTATTTTTTTTTTTTGTAATATAGGGTCGATTTTTTTATTGTACTTTGAAACAACTTAATGTTAAACAATAAGGCAATATAATATTGAATATCAGAATATTTTAGGATGTCTGCAGGTATGAAGAAATTCTTATATACACAGTATTGGAAGTAATTATGGAACCAGAGAATAAAATGGGCATCAAATCTAAATATTATGAGACTGTTTACCTTATATTAACTGCACCACAGTACAGTCTTGTGTCAATAGTTTACCTTGTAATTTCTTTCATCCAATCAATCTGACAGTACCACAGAATCATAATGCCTATAAAGGTACAGGCAGTCATATATTCTGAACTGAAGTGTTGAACAGAAATGTTGATGTAGTTTTGGCTGGTGAAGGCTACTCCATCAAAGGTGAAGCAAAATTTAATGTTTCAGTAGGAACTGTAAGAAAGCTCTGTTGGGGGTACATGAAACTAGTACTGTTATCAATAGAAGTGGTAAGTGTAGAGAAACCAAGTTCTTCAGAAGCAATGTTAGGGAACTTAGTTTATGCTTTTTACACGAAGCATGAAAATCTATTTGAGATCTTGCCAATGACCTAGCTGTAAATACTTGTATGAATGTTAAGTCCAGAACATTAAGATACACATTAGCACCAAGTGACCATGAGCTGCTCAGAAACAAACTGCTTAGGAGAAATAACTAAACCAAAAGACTGAAATGTGCATCAGATCTCAAACAGTAGATTGAGCAAAGCTGGAGGAGGGTGCTCTTTACAGATGAATTCAAATTTCATTTGTTTGCCAATAATTAACAATAGTTTGTTTGTTGGGAGAAAGGAGGATGATATCATGGTAAATGTGCAAAACCTATGGTGAAGGATGTTGAGGGACCAATATAAGTATGAGCTGCATCCAAACCAGTGGTATTAGATATTTACATAAAATTGAAGGCACTTTGACTGCTGACAGGTACAAGCAGGACTCATTTTCCATTAAAACAGTGATCCCAAACATGCAGAAAATATGGTGCAAAAGATTCCAAATGGGACACTTACAATCATGATTTAGCTTTCTCAAAATGCCAATATGAATATTATTAATGCTATATGATATGTGAATAGTGAGGAGATGAAGTGTTAACAAAACTTGGCTGAATTGTGGAGAGTAATGTAGGACACTTGGAGCAATATTTCACAATCATACATTGATGATCTTATGGTAGCATAAAAACAAGATGTTTATAGTAATTACAAAATACTGGTGTATTTTACACTTTATTTTCTTTCCTTTCTTATTTTTGCTGTAACAATGCACTGTACTAATGATAAGTTAACAATTTAGATACAATTACTCACTCATTGCTTGTAGCTTCTGTATGTGTATCACCTGTGTGTTTCAGTAAATATTTCCAGTACTGTATATACATAGGTACATTGTGTGTGTGTGTGTTTAACATGTAGAAAATGTTTTATAAATTTGGTCATCAATCATCTAAACTTTTTCATTGTGGTTCTTATCATAATAACAAACAACAAAACTGTAAACATAACCTACTGATATCCCAGTTCTCTAGACAAAACTTATAAAAACTCGAGCAGCTTTGAGAGAAATGTAACACAATATGGGTGCCCACGAGCAAGGGGCATATCTTTCAATTAATTTTTGATTTAAAGGAATTTGGTAATGTTCATACTATATTACATTACATACTAATTATTTCCAATCTATTTAATATGTGCAAAGTTTCCTTTTATTAGGAAGGTGGCATTTTGGATAGATCTGGAGCAACTAAAGATTGTTTCTTTAAATAAGATATATATTTGCATAAAAATGTGTATTGTCATGTGAGAAGAAATATGCTTGTAGTCCTGTAAGTCAAATGTCAGTACGAGCACGTAGAATGTTGAGAATTGTACAAATGTGCAGAGAGATTCTATATTATAACTCTTGATGCACCAGATTCTAGTTAGAGAGACTTGTTTCTTTTCATCAATATGAGATCATAAAGATTCATGGGAATCAAAGGAATATCTGATCTGATCAAATTATTCCAAATCTGTCCATTGTATACAGATAAATCAGAACATCCACATCATTGAGGAAATTGTGGAAACTTTCAACAAACATTAAAGAGAATTTTACTTTATTTTGTTACTTAATACAGTATTAATCTTGATCCATTTTGATTTATCAAAGCATATTCTTGACAGTTCAGGCCTTCATGAATATTTTTATCGTTATGTGTGTTTATTAGCCACGTGTTCTCTCCTGACCAAATGGTAGACAGTCAAGAATCTCTAAAACAAAGATAACCATACAGTTTTTGCCCGAATTGGGTAAATTAACAAACGTTCATATCATGGATGAAAGGAAGATGTATCTTTGGTTGTACAGCTATTATCTTAGTTTTGTGATTGATTGTTGCACCAATGCAACTACACTTGTATACACACACACACACACACACACATACATATTTATTTGCATCAGATAAAGCCATTACCTCCCCACTCAACTCCTGGAAGTTTGGAAAGTAATAACCATACACTATAAAAATTGTTAATTACACCTACTTTAGTTTTGAGGCATGCTGAGTAATTGTTCTATTTCTACATTTTCCATTTAGATATTGACATGTTTTCTTCAATGTTTAAACTATTTTGATGTGAAGGAATGTCGAGTTTTAAATTGAAATATTCAAGTAAAGAATATATTTATATGTATATTTACTAAGTAAATCTTAGAAGTTTGCATAGAGAAATAATCACTTTGAATGTTATTTTTCTTAAAGGACAGGTAAGATTAGCATAGCTATTGAAATAGATAAATATTTTAAAATTTAGACTTTAATTCTGTCATACATTTAATAGGCACCACAGTAGTTTGCAAAATATGTTTTATTCTAAAACTGTTATGATGTATGTATATAAAGTACAATATAAGGTCAAAGCACTGAGTGTACAAAAATATAATTGTCATGATAGCCATGCAGTAACCTATTTTTTCCATAGGGAGTTAATGCTTTGATAAACCTCGCAGAAATTGCAAAGCCTTTTTTGGGTGAGGAAGAAAAATCGTTACTTTTAGATTTTGAGGAATATCTGAAAACCCAGAGTGGAGCTTGGGCTTTAGGTTCAACTCACCTTGACCTTCTAGGTGAGAGTTATTTGTATATATAAATTTCTTAACTCTTCAGATTTCCAAACACTTTGATCTTTTGTACTGAAAAATACAATATTACTGTTCCTTTGATTTTCCTTTGTGTCACTCAGGGCATCTATTAAATGATGAGGGTCTATCACAAAGTGTGAGGATTTTTACATTGCAAATGCTGCAGGCAGCTGTATTTAAGGAAGACCTAATCTTGCTACTACATCAAGATCGAAAAGATCATCATGTCATGAGGTACATCAACAAAATAGAGAAACTGGGTGCAGAAGAGCAAGAGGAGATATCCAAGCTGGTATGTGTAGACTGCAAGACATATAAAGTGTAATTTAGCCTAAAACTATAATTTTTTTTATCACATCAGGATTTACATTTCAATTTGAGATACCTCAGACACAAATCTTTTGTGTGTAAAGAAATTGTTGAGAGACACCACAACTTAAAGGTGAAAACACCCAAATCTTACATGTGTAATAATTTGTGAATGTATTTCATGAGTAGATTAATCAATAAATCAAAGGAAACTCAAAACTTCATCCCAGACAAAGATGATCACTAAAGTAAACTGTGAAGTCAACTCCCAAAACTATCCTAGACAAAGATAGTCATCAAACTAAACTGATAAGTCAACTCTTAAAACTATATCTTAGACAAAAATGATCACTGAAGTAACCCATTAATTCAACTTTTAGAACTCAATTTTAGACAAAGATGATCATCAAAGTAAACTGTTAAGTCAACTTACAAAATTACGTTTTGGTTATGTTAACCCTTCCTAGTTATAAAACTGAAGAGCATTTATACACTACTATTAATTTTTTTATTAATTAAGTTATACTTTGATCAAAACATAATTTTAAAGTATGTTTTTAATTCAAACTGAATATTAGTATCAGTTTCAAATAATCTTCAGTGCCAGAGTGATGTCTGATTTCATAAACCATTTTAATGTTTATTATTATGGCTTTATCTCAGGCCAGTTTGACATTATTTTTTAAGTACAAGATCATTTTAAATAAATAACATTATTAAAGTTTGGAGCTGAACATAGAACTGTTTAATTCTAGCAAAATGAGAAATTTAAATTGAGAGTTTGAATAAGGCTTAGTTAAAAATATGTAAAGAAATGACAGTCCACATATTTCATATTTTGCAAAATTGAAATAATATCGAAATGTTTTAAATTGACAGACAGTGCTTTTAAACATTTTCAAACTATCATGGACATATGATTTATTTATAAACTTAGCATTTTTGATTTTTTTTGGGTGAAATATGTTTTTTTTGGTAATTTGGTGATTAATTGATTCCTGTTTGATAGATGTAGCCTTGTATTGTTGACTGGGTAAAGAGTAATTACAGACTGGTTTTTAGGTAAACATTCCAAGCTTAAAATACTTGGCTAGTCTGTGAAATGAACAGGTAAATATCATGATGGACCATCATGTATTGGTCCAATGAATTAATATAATTTTTCCAACAAGGTCTTCCTACCATAATCTGTTTTAAAGCATCCATTCTTCTTCACTTGGGCCTGGCATGGCCAGGTAGTTAAGGTGCTTGACTCACAATCTGCAGGATGTGGGTTTGAATCCCTGTTCCACCAAACATGCTTGCCCTTTTGGCTGTGGGGGCATTATAATGTGGTGGTCAATCCCACTATTCGTTGGTAAAAGAGTAGCCCAAGAGTTGGCTGTGGATGGTGATGACTAGCTGCCTTCCTTCTAGTCTTAAACTGCAAAATTAGGGACGGCTAGCACAGATAGCCCTCATATAGCTTTGCGCGAAATGCATAACAAGCCATACCTTCTTCACTTGTATGTTGTGTTAACCATGCACCATTACTTACCCAAGCATAATACATGCTTCTTCACCTGTATATTGTGTTGACCATGTGCTAGTATTTGTCTAGGCATGCAAGTTCTGATAAGCATTAATTAACTACTTGCTTTCCCTTTTAAAAAAGTATCAGTTTGTTAGGGGTTTCCACATGAGAACTGGAAACCAACAAACACTATATTACACTAATCTCTTGATTAATGGGGCTTGTAGAGACATTGCTTGTAGAATTGTGCCATTTGAACAGTTTTTCACATAGAGCCATAAATCCTAACCCTGTCGTGTTTCTCATTTATATGCAGGAGTTGTGTATTGTAATGTAAAATATGTTGTTTACTACAACCACAGATATTTTCTATATGTTTCAGCTTTTGCAGAAGAGTCCAATTTCATGTGTACTTCCTATTCTTTAAAGAGTTAAATGGGAATAATTTATATGTATATAAATTGACTGTTACTTATTAGGTCAGATGTAGTCAGTGATGGATCAGTAACAAACTAAACAAAAATTATTTGTGTACAAACTTAGAATTCTAAGCTCTGGCTTGATCAATGTGAAATGGCTAGTTAAATAAAATATTATGTACTAACAAACCTCAGTTTGGTCTGTATTGAGTTAGTCAGTTAAAAGAAATTTTGAGGTGTTTTCATTACATTCTGTAACAGTTTTGAAAAATAACTAGTTATACCACTTTTATAATGAAGCATTTATTTGTGCAATATGTGATCACTGGTTTTATAGCAGGTTATTTGTTATCTTAAAAATAGTTAACTGACACTACTGATCCTGTTATACCATTTGGGAAATAGAGAGACAGTTATTAATTGACATGCCCATAAGCTACATCAGTTGATTAAAAAAAAAGTATTCCATGATTTTAATAAATGGAACATTTTATTATAAGAAATATATAATTGAGTATCTTAGGGCATTTCTAAGATTGAGTATCTTAGGGCATTTCTAAGCACATAAACATTTTTTTTTATTACAGCTTTGTAATCTCTGCTACAACAACAGCAGTTTTGATTGGTTGATGTATATTTCTGAGTGGGAAGAACGTGGTCAAGTGTGTAGCAACTGTAGAGTGACAATTCGTGCAGCTGTTCATGCTATCTTAAGTGACACACCTTCAATAAGAGAAAAAGGAGCAGCTTTGATATACAACTTAGCATTGAAAGAGGTAAATCAGTTTTGCTTTTAAAATAATAAGTACTTAAGAGTCATGAAATGAGATCTTTAAAAAGTATATGCTTTGAGCAGTGAATGATATTTAATGTTTACAACATTTTTTAGAATGTGCTTTGGTGAATAATCTTTCATCTATATTTATATCAAACTAGCTTGGAGAAATAGCTTGTGTCAAACTGTATTATACAGTGTACTTTATTTAATAATAGTAAGTCAGTATCAGATTGTTTCAGTTTTCCCCTCAAAAATAACTTTTAGGTAAAAATGTTAGTCTTAATTTACTTTAATGTCCTTTTTTTTTTTAATCCTTACCCTCCCCCAGTATCTTCAGTTTATTTTTCCTTACATCTTGGACTACAGGACTACAAGTTTTTGCCATTTATTTTGACTGAAGTTTATGTAATATGTTAATAATGATTAAAAAAAGAAATTAAGAAGTAGTTAACTTTGTTAAATTGTATATATTATTATTAGGTTCATAATATTGTTACTATACTGTTTTTCATGGTGCAAGTGACCATGTTGACCTCTGAATATTTTGACATCATACAACATGTGTATAAAATATATTCTTTTATTGAAAGATTTGTTTAATATGTGTTTTTATTATATAATGGCTAGGTAGCTGGTGACAGCTGTTTAGCCTATAGACTAGGTAGCTGTCACTGGTTATTAAGCAGGAACTAACATTTGTTAAGCATATAGGCTAGGTAGCTGTAACTGGTTATTAAACAGGAACCAACATTTGTTAAGCATATAGGCTAGGTAGCTGTAACTGGTTATTAAACAGGAACCAACATTTGTTATGCGTATAGGCTAGGTAGTTGTCACTGGCTATTTAGTAGGAACCAACAGCTGTTTAACCTATAGGCTAAGTAGCAGTTGTCAACTATTTAGTAGGAACCAACAGCTGTTTAACCTATAGGCTAAGTAGCTGTTGTCAGCTATTTAGTAGGAACCAACAGCTGTTTAACCTATAGGCTAAGTAGCAGTTGTCAGCTATTTAGTAGGAACCAACAGCTGTTTAACCTATAGGCTAAGTAGCTGTTGTCAGCTATTTAGTAGGAACCAACAGCTGTTTAGCATATAGGCTAAGTAGCAGTTGTCAGCTATTAAATAGGAATGTACAAGATAGACTAGATAACTAGCACTATTTTTAACATGTTATTTATATGTTAAACAAAGAATTATAGCAAGAAGTTTACAATAGTTGTTTACAAGCCACAGACCTGGAATATTTTTCTAGAATTTCTATTGACGTTATTTTTATTCCTGATAATACTTTAATGTTAAATTATATACGTTTGAAACCTACAGAAATTTTCTTGTGTGTTTAACCTGTTAAGAGAGTAGTACATAAATCAGTTTATTACATTATACTGTATTATTTTAAAGCATTATGTAGAGACTAGTCCAGGAACATCATTTCACAAAAGGCTTGGGAAGAGGGGGCAAAGAAGACTGCCCTCATGTGGGCCCCTTAATTCATGTTATGGCATGATTTGTGTATACTAATAGAAGGGCACAAGTACCAAACAGTGTTTACAGTGAAGTAAAAAAAAAAAGGTTGAAAACCCCTTATTTATGTAAAATTTCTTAAGATATTTCCAAGTAATTTTGAATAGTGTTCAGAATAACCTGAATAAAGCATTATTAGAAACATAAACATTTACATATGCAAAGGATGTGATGTATAAAGTTAATATGAATATTTTCTTAGCAACTGTTTGATGACACAGCAACAGAATTAGCTACTGCAGTATTGCAGTTTCTTCATGGAGAAGTAAGAGAAGAAGAAGGTAAAACTACAAGCTACTTATATTGTGTCTTTATGTGAAACTGAAAGAGAAATACTTTCTTTTTCCTATCAATGAAATTTTCAGCACTTCCAGATTTGAATGATTACGTATTTAAAATGTTGAAAAATAAAGAAATTTATAAATCTTATGATGTTCACATTCACATTTTCTCTAATAATAAGGATAACTTACAGAATACTTACTTTTATTAATAATGTTTTATGTATCAATACAACATTATTTTCAGATGTTAGTACTGCTTAATGTAGTAAACTGTGTATTTTAATTTGGACTTTTTGAAGGTTAATTATCTGTATATAGTATATTTGAAATACATAACTAGCTGGTTATGCTCCTCAGTTACATATCAAACTACTGTACATTTACACTAGTCAGTTACCCTTCTCAGTTAAATATCAAATTGCAGTTCAGTGTGAATTTCACGTTATGCTCCTCAGTTACATATCAAACTACTGTACATTTACACTAGTCAGTTACCCTTCTCAGTTAAATATCAAATTGCAGTTCAGTGTGAATTTCACGTGTCAAATCTGAGAAATGATTTTTTCATGAGCCTGCAGAATTTGTCAGCTAACACATAAAGGAGATGATATTTATAAACACATTCACATTAGCTCTTTGAAACATTAAGCTAATGCTGCCTTGTCACATAATTATTTCTTCACTTTTAGGTTTACAATATTTTCATTTTACAGAAGTAAGTTTAATTAATTTATTTAACACTCCTAATGTAAGCTGTCTGTATTTTCATTACACCTGTATATATACGTATACACACAGATCTGTAGATTGTTAAGTGATCTGTTCTATTTTGAATTTTTAGCCTTCCAGTGTTTGACAGCCCTTCTGAGATTCCTGTATATAAGTTATAATGATGTAAGTAGTCCTTGGGTTTTGTTTTTAATTACTGAATGTTAAGATTAGTAAATGCTCGTAAAAATTCATGCAGTGAAGAACAGAACTGTACTAACATAATTCACTTGCATAAAATGTCTATTCAAGTGAAACTATAAAGCCTTTAAGAATTTAATTTTTTTTATTTAAAAAGTTGGTGCCAATGCATCTCCATTTGAACTTTCTCATTAATCTTTCAGGCAGTAAACGTTTTTGTTTTGTTTCCTTTTCTTAGGCCACTGTAGTTTGATTTTAGTTGTATATTTCAAGATAGTATTAAATATGTTAGGAAATTATACTTCCTTCTGCAGTCAACACTTAATGCATCATTTATAACCACGTGTGCCAAATTCACAAATCTAACAACTTATTCATACATCAGAAAACTTTGGGCCTTTAAACTTCTAAAAAATGTATGTTTTATTAGCTGATTAAGTGATTGGAAGAATCAAATTTTCCTTCTTCAGGTCCCAGCCTTGGTTCAGATGTTGGGTCCAGAGATGGAGAAGTTTAATGGAAAGTCGGAACGAGTGGATCAATTGGTTGAACAGATACAGTTCAAATTGTCCGTTTCTATTTCTGCTTAATAGTCTGAATTACTATTCAGACCTCTTTTCTGCAACTGTTGATTTCATTTTGCTACTGAATGCTGACGTACTTTGAGTAAAATGGGATGTTATTGCAATAATGTGTGTGAATTTCAAGCGTGTTAGTATGTAAAAAACTTAAATTATTTTTTAATATTTGCTCAAAAACATGATTAAAATCTAAAATGACCTAGCCAAATTATTATTTTAATGATGTCATTTCTGTTGTAAAACAGAGATAACTTACAGACTACTGTTTTTAGTTGTTTTTGCATTAACTAATCATAAACTTTCTGTTTTGAGAGAAGAAGAAAGTATCCCAATTTACATGTTTCTTGTTTATTTTATGAAAAAAGGCATATAAACAAGTAAAAACTTACATACAAAAATGTAAATATCAACTGTTTTTTTCTTTTGCCATGTATATTACAATGAACAGTTTTTGTTCTAGTAAAATATATCTTGGTGCAAGTAAATAGTATGTTACAACTGAACACATGCAAAACAATTTCTAAATGTAGATTCTTTTTTTAACATATACAATAAACAGTGCAAAATGGTATTTCTTCCTGTTTTAATAATCCTGCACAAACATATTCTATGTAAAATAGTGTTTGTTACTATCTAATAATAATAAAAACTATTGAATTAGTTTACTTGATATTGAGCCTGTACAAATATTTTCTGTGAACAATGTAAAATAGTGTTTATTACTAATTAATAAAAGTAATGGTTAAGTTAGCTTAATTGATGCTGATTCCTGTACAAATATTTTCTGTGAACAATTTAAAATGGTGTTTAGTACTAGTTAAATTAGTTTACTGGGCTTTGATCTTGTACACACACACATTCTATGAACTAGTTTGTTATGAGTCTGATAACCATATTTGTTCTGGCTTAGGTTTTGTATACAGTATACAAGGAATGACACTACTGTTGTATGTTCATCATAACATATGTAATAATAATAAGTGTTCTTTAGTTTTGACTTTATACAAACATAAATTGTGAACAAATCAAAATGATGTTTATTATTAGTGAATAACTAAATTAGGTTATCTGCTTTAATCTTAAATAAAAATATACTAGTTAATAATAACTGTGAAATTACTTAGTTTGTCCCTCGTACAAACTTTCTGTGTACACAGTTACTACTAATTCAGTATAGCACTGCTTATACTAGTTTAATACTTTTTAATGATAGCAAGTGCTAAATTTGCTTATTTGCCCAGTACAACCTGGGGGTATCATGAAATCTAAAAAGTGCTGTGAGTTGAATCATCGTGGTTACAGCTGTTAATAGAAAATACAAGTTTGGGTTGTAATTTCAGAAAGAGATTGTTTTAATAAAGTATGGTAACTGATGCTACAAATGCATATTGTTGAAAAAGTATAAATAATGAAGATTTTGAAAGGTATGTGCTTTAAGTTTGCTGTTCTTTTCAATAGCATCTGTGTAGAATTATTTTGAAAATACTTAAATAAAATTGACTAACCCTGATGTATATTTTTATTCTTACTTAATATGCATCTATCGAGGTTTTCGAATATGTAAGTATCATTCTGATTGCCTGTGCTACTAAAAACATTTTTTACCCTAAAGTGTAATTCTTTCCAGTTATGTTTTGAAGTTATAAACTGATTATCAGAGGTAAAGTTAACATTTTTCTAGTGGGATACTTGGTTAGATAAACAAGCCTTTTGTTTGTGTATAACATAAAAGAAACTTTACATACTCTAAATATAATTATTGTACATTTGTCATTGTTTCTTCTAAAGCTTTTTTCATAATTTATCCCTTATACTGGGAGCTGTACCCCATTCTCAGGCCCTTGTGAATCAATGTGAGGTGTAACTTTTATCCTTATCACACATTTTTATGTACTGAATTAGAAATCTGAGGATAGCAGAGGTTAACATTTTCCTTACTTGAAAATGTATTTCTTATACTCACCTCTCACACAGATATAACTAACTTCTACACACATCTACCACAACATTTGCATGCCACTAGCCTTGAGGCAACTCTCACCTAATTTCACGTGATTTAATGTGAATTGCACTACTGCATGATACAAGGCCCTCCACCAATAGGAGGGCAACACACTTCCATGTGCAATAACTCCCCCTACGTATTTGCATTCGTGTAAACGTCATTCTTTGATGAGGCAAGGAAGAGAGTGTGCATTGGAAGTGGGGAGAATGGATTGGATCTGTAGGATACTTCCAAGATGACACCTCACCTCCACACTTAGATATAGCTAGAATCCCAGGTTAAATTGGTGGGGGGCCATGCAAATTTTACCTGGATGAGCTCTCTTCAGAAAGTGTCCAAAGGCTGACTATGTGGCATGACATCTGATGGCAGGGGCTCCATAGGGACACACTTGTGGGAGACTGCATCTCATCTTGGGTATACTCTTCACCTGGAAAATTAGGGAGGAAGAGGCAAACAAGCCCCATGTGTTGCAGGAACAGGCAGAATAAGAACATGGTCATCTGAATACTTGCACACAAGCAGTCAGAAAGCCAATATGTGTAGTGTGGTAGAAGCGCATTAAGACCATATTGTGTTTGCTCAACTCAACTGTCAGACTCTACATATAAAATGAAATGAGTGATAAAGTGAGAAAACAAAAAATAAGACAAGGGAAGAAACATGCCTGAAAATTAAATCCAGAAAGAGATTGAAAGTTTTAGGTCATCGCACGAATGATACTTTCCAAAGCAAAAAAATTGAAGGTCATAATCAAAAAAATCATTCCCAACTGATAAGAGAGAAATTCAGCCAGTGGGACAGAAGTAGGAGGTCCTTTAAACATCTGGTAATCCACAACATATTGAATAGTGGCTGCAATGATCTTGACAGTTAACAAGCCTCCAAAAGCTACAGCAGAAAGAAGGCCTAAGTGTGAACAATGTTACGCATCAGTACCAAATGTAAATCACTGTTCTTTGAGAATCACGATAAAAATTAAAGCTTTTGAAACAAAGGCCAAAGAAAACGAAAATCAAAGTTTTGTTAACTACATAAATCTGGGTAAATTTATTGCAGAAAAGAAAATTAAACACATCTACCCAATACAACACAGAGGAGAAGAATGAAATTTATGAGTCCAAATACATAGGGGGGGAGTTATTGCACATAGAGGTGTGTCACTCTCCTACTGGTGGAGGACTTTGTCACATGATTCTGTCATACCGCAGTAGTGCAATTCACATGAAATTAGATGGGTGTTACCTCAAGGCTAGTGGCATGCAAGTCTCTTTGGTAGCCGCACAAGGAAGATAGCTACATGTGCGTGTGGAGGTTAGGTATCGCCTTGGAAAGTTTTGGTTTTCACCATATCCATACATTTGTTTGTTGAAATAAGCTCATACAATATGTTAATATTTTCTTAACTGTAGACTCAAGAGGAAGTTAAAGAAATGATGATACTCACTGAAAGGGAAAAAAATGTCAATTTTGATGTTGAACATGTACTTGATGTGCATTGTTAATTGACCAAAACGAGTACACTGACAATCCATAAATAAGCCAGCGTATTTGTACTTTAGTTTTGATTACTCCTGTATCTTATGCAGGAGTAGCACAACTGGCCACAGAATAGAACTTTGCATGGGGCCCGAACTTAATGAATACCACCCTTGCTCTAATGTTATCTTATCACCATACATTTTATAATAGAAAAATTCAGATAACCCACCTTAATTGAAACCAGTTCTCTGACAGTGATTTTGCTAGAGAGGCACTCTTTAAATATTTGAATAATTAGAGTAAGCCAACACTTTCACATAAAATTGCAATTACAATAGCATAAACACATTTTTATGACTAAGACTGTATGGTAAATTATGTTTTTAGTTTGTAAATCAATAAATTTACTAAGGTTGATGACTAAAGTAAGTAACATGAACTTACAGTTTAGCAATGTAATTACACATCAATTCATTTAGTTTATATATGAACATAATGTATTAGTATTTGGCATTAGCTTTGAAACAAGTTTTACCTACTTATTTGAGCTGGAAGATAAAATGTGTTTACCTAAATAAATAAAACAAGAAAAAATGCCCATAACATATATCTTTATTTTATCGAGGGAATACAGGATAAAAACTACTAAATTCACATTTAAATACAGTGTGTCTTGTAACATCTTTCCCCCCTTATATTAAGTGACAAAACAGCATTAATTTACATATTACTTTTCTCACCCAAACAATGGTATCCCCTGGTGGATAAGTGAAAAGTTTATGAACTTACAATGATAAAAGCCAGGGTTTAATTCTCTGTGATTAACAGAGCACAAATAGCCCATAACGACAGTAATTAGATCATTATATATATTGTCTATGATGCTGGATTACTTTTTGTTGATTTTTTAGCACAATATGCTATCTACATTCTATCCACAGTGTAGAATAAAACACCAGACTTTATCATTGTACGTCTGGAAACTTACCACTGGGTAATGCTAGATTACAGCAAGTTCTTACGTTTTAATGGTTGGGTTAACACAAACCTTTTACGGCTTTCCTAAGATTTCTGGTAATAACATTTTGGCTTGAATGAGCAAGTTTAAATGTAGTAAGGCTATATATAAATGCAAAGTCAAGCTGATAAAACCATAAATTATTTTTACCAATTACATGATGGCTTTACAAAGATGTGTATTCTCAGATGATTGAAAAATACAGTTTGGTAAATTTACAGTCAGTGCAAAAAGTTGTAATTATTTTAAAGTTAAGAAAATATGTAAAGTTTTGGAGCATGGTAGTGAGCAGTTAATTGTGAAAATTACATTTTAAACAGAGCATCTGTCATAGGGGGATTAACTCGAGACATTTACCACTTAGACTAATGAACACTTAGGATTGAGTAAATTAAAAACTTATTCACTGTTTTGAAGCTACTATACAATTACAATAGAATAGATTTTTTTGAAAATTGAAAACTAAAAATCACAGATGTTTACTGTTTTTCCAGATGAATCTACACAACTTCTGTCAGAGAGGTTAACATGGAGGAAGAGTCTACAAAACGTTTTTTTAAGTGTACAATCTTTCTAATCAACATTTTGTGAGGAATAATTATATATTAAAAATAAATTTAAAAAGTAACTACCACTTTTAGAATATTACCTTACAAAAGTAATCAGTACTTAAGTTTCTAGTTTTGATTAAGCCTTATGGAAGATGTACTATTATTTAGTAGATGTATTATATACTGAGAAGACAAACAAACAAATTAAACAATGCATGTAAAAATTTGTAACATAAGAAAACTGCTTTGCTTCATGTACTAATTTAGTTATTCTAATCCTATCTCTACAACCCAATAATAAGTTTGTACAAAAACTGACCCTTTAACCATTTGAAAATCAACCACAATAAAAGTACTCTGTATTTTACTACTACATTTCATATATATTTTAAAATATATAAAGTATTATATACACTAAAATAATACAAGTATTCCACTTTAGGATGAGATTTGTAGGCAAACATTTATCATCATCATCATCATCATCCTGCTTTTTAAATGCAAATATCCAACCTTAAATTCAATTCTTTATGCTATAATAACAATTGCATATATAATGGGAAAAGGTAACTTTGTCAAGAAAGGAATACTTTTGGTAAAATACAACCATTTCGTGCTGCTCATAAATTCACTTGCTGTAAAGACCAAATCTGATTCATTAAACATTTTTGGGATGCTTAAAATGTATAACAAATGCAATGTAAATAAAGCAATGGGATTAACAATTACAGTGTGAAATAGATGATTCAATATTTTCGTTTTACCTTGCTTTTAGAAGCATGAAAATCTTTGTAATTGAACAAAACTATTACAAGTTTTAGAAAGTGCCATACACATATAAATTTGATGACGAGGAACCCACTTTGAGACTAATAATGGTTGGAGACGGCTTGAATGGGTAATGAAGAAAAACTTTAATATAAGTTTAACACAACAGCAAATGTAAAACCTTGTTGAAACATTGTACATTTGGTGTTTGGTTAAGCTTGTATTAAAGTTTTTCTTCATTACCCATTCAAGCCGTCTCCAACCATTATTATACACATATAAAGTTGAGATATTACTATGTTATAGACAAATTTTATAAATTTTTAAGGAGTGTAGCTGCCAAAGATTTACACTGCTGTGTTGGACCATACAGTCCAATAACAGTCTTGTTTGACGTACAATGGTTGAATTACTTGTTACACCTTTTTATTAAATAAAAACTACACAGACTTCACACCTGTAGTTTCTGGGCAGTTATGTTCTTCACATAACAGTGTACAAGGAGTTAAAGATGAAATTTGTAGACTTAAATATAATGTGAATGAAATGGCCTACTTCCAAAAATAAATTTTTGACAGTTACCAGATGCAGGTCGAATCATACAAATTTTTATGATTTTGTACAGATTTTCAATATATTAACAATAAAAAAAAAATTATCTACAAAATCCTGAACATCAAGCAGAAATTAGTGTATGAACAACACTATCTCACTAACCAAAATGCATATGAAAACATGGTTTTGCCACATGAGAACTAGTTTTAATTGTATGCTTTTAGAAGCAGTCTAACAACTGAAAGATCACACAATAAATTCAAATGTGATTTAAACCTCTTTTTCACATTGCGTGTAATTACACTTTTACTGGCGTGATGAAAGACGACTAACTTATTTGTTACATTTATTTTGGGGGGAAGCACAATCAACTGGGTTAATTCTAGTTGCAAATACAGACAAAAGTGTCAAACTAATATACGTTAAATACCTTTTCAACTTGATAAACTTGTACAAGATAAAAATCTTGTCAATAACATTAAAAGTTACAAAGCTGGACTTTAATAAACTACATTGCTTGATTAAAATGGTTTTAATAAGTTTAAGTGCAATTTTAGCATCAGCCGTTTGTCACACAGTATCACCACCAGTGTTATACACTAATCCCATCCATTAGAGAATCAAGGGATTTAAAACCACTTAACATTTTAAGTAAAGGAATTTAACCATGTAAAAGAAATGCCTTAAAAATGATGGTATAAATATATAAAATTATTTAAATTTCATTTCTTGTGCAAAAACTAAGCAAAGGGTGATTGGAAAGATCTTATACCACCACCATAGTATTTCTAAATCTTGACCTTGCTATGATATTTGTAAGTCATGTACAACAAGTGGTTGTGATGCCAATAACTATGCACTCTCCTGATTCTACACAATTATACATTTTCTTTTATCACACTTCCCAATAACCTGGAAAAATTACACCCTGTGCAATATAACACCCTGACTGACACTGTGTCATGATATCAACGACATATTTCGAACAGCTATAAGGGCAGGACATAGAAAATCACCATGATTGTGCATGACCTTTATACCACCCTGTAGAATTACTTCAGTAGATTAAAGTGTAAGCAAGGTTGTGTACGTTTAGTTACACTTCCTCTTGACTTTTGGTCTAATAATAATATCAAAAATATTTATATATATATATTAACATGTCATTTTGAAAAATAAATATTTATTTTCCCTTTTTTTTTTAAGTAAAATATTTATTTGCAGCCTGAATGATTATTTTAAGATTTTTTTTTTTGTAATCAGCCACAATCTCACACTTGGGCTGTTCTGGAAAAAATTGAATGTTTCATATATGAAAGCTACTTTTTCCCCCATACATTACAAAATACTGACCAAGGTGTGTATTAAAAAAAAATAAACAGAGGTTTGGTATCTTGTGCTTTTAGTATAATCTAATAACTTATAGGCTGCAAACTTTGGTCTTGTTTCTGTAGAATTCTGAATAAGAGTTGACTCTATATTCAGGTATACTTTCTTTGGATGAAAATGTTATCACTCCAAAAGAAGAATTTCATTTTCTGTTGGGACACAAAGAAATTAATTTTTACAACCACAGAAAATATCCAGTCTCACTCTGCAGAAACTATACCTCGAGAATCTATCTCCATTACATTTCTATCTAGCAATGATTAAACAATGTTTTTTTTGTTATACTGGTAAAGAAATAATCTCTTGAGGGCTGGGGATAGAAGATGCTTTTGTGAACTGCTTTATTTTCCTGCAGAAGGAGAAAAAAAAATTAAATTTTCTTGCAAACAAATGAACCTTATTTGATAATGTAACACAAAAGTCATGATTACCAATCATATATTGTAATTCAGTATCATAATTTACTGTTATATTCCTCCTTTTTCAATCAAAAACATAAATACAACAATAACTCCACAGATTACTCAGCTAATTAAAGCAAATATTGTATGGTAATCTTATGAAACTCAGTAAGCAATTTTGTTATTTATTGCAAGCAGTAAGAAATTTCTGCATATTATAATACAAAGATAGAATAAAAAAACACTCATTATTAAGAGCATTCTCCAATGTCACTATCAGTTCCAACAACTTTATCAAATGAAAACATGTTCAAGACTGTCACTTAAGGAAAGGATGTATAACATGTATACTATTATGAAGTATATATGCTTGTGAAGTTCATTACAATATCTCTCATTAGAACAAAATATTTACAAATGATAACTTCTAGGAAGTACAAGAAGGAAAACCAAGGTGAATTACACTTCTTGGAAATGTCAGCTTCAAATGCACTAACATATTTATATACGAAAAGCATATGTCAAAATTATACACTTATTTTCATACACTTTAAAAAGTCTCATCATAAAATGTAAAAATCACGATACATACGTTGGTGTTGTAGCAGGACTTCCATGTTCCTCCAGCTTCTGAGCATTCTCTCTGACAAAGTTTCGACAAGAAGCAAGCTTGGACTCCAGTGCCTGGTTTACCATCACAAGTGGGAATAGAAGGATGGGAAGGGTTAGTTTTAAACAGTGCAATATATCATAGTTAGGAAATTTAAAAAAAAAAGTGCATTGTACTAGAAAATGATAACACTCAACATCTTTACACAGGGATGTGGTAATTTAGCAGTTATTGGAAGTTCAATAGCCACATAACAAACATCATCTGATTAGTTGTATACATGCATTTTTTTAATTAAAATTCATACACAGATTATTTTGTGACAAAAAACTTTTTTAAAAGGGTTTATATTAGTAGATTTTAATATAATAGAGCCAGTGTTTTCCATGTATAAAATTATTCTATATTTATAAAACTTCAAGTTCAGATATTAGCCTACACTATATTAAAAACACCATCAATTTTACAAAAACCCTAATAATGTAAAACCTTTATTGTTAAATATATTTCCTCTTTTCTCTGTATTTTTGATTTTCCTTTTGCCGTGCAAGAACATCAATCATTGTTGGCTGTTGTTTTGCTGCCAATGTGTTGTGACCCCCTCTTTATACTTTTTTTCATACGGCGAAATCATTTTTAACAGTCTAAACCTTACAACAAACAGAACATAATATATATACTCTTCATCCATGTATAGCACATCTTTCCCGAATTCTTCATTCAAAATGCAGAAACTGAACAAATTTCAACACACCTGACAGCATTAATTTTAGTCTCATAGTGACTTATGCTTTTTATTTTCTTGTTTTACTTTATTGTTTTTAAATACAAGTTAAAAAAATAACTAATGCTTAATTTGAAAAACACTGAATAAAATCACACATAGGTCATTACTGAAATGTAGGATCATCTTAGAGAAAACCACAGTAATATCAGAAATTTCTTCTAAATGCCGACCTGTTCATAAATGTGGTCATACAATGTAATATATTCAAAGACTATTTATTGTTACATTCTACCCACTTCTACAAGGAAAACATACTTTTCTCAAATCACAAAATTTATTTGTTTTTGATGCTAACTACCATGACCTTTAATATACAATTATTATATAATTATTCTGTGCCCCTTTCTTTATCGAGTTTTTGAATAATTTACATTACTTTGTCATACATTCATAAATATATACAGAGACAGATATATATACATGTGTGTGTGTGTGTGTGTATATGTGCAAATATGACAATCAAAATAAATCCATTTCTATCACTATGAACAAGTTAATGAAGATAAAACCCAGGCTTCAAGTGGCTCAATCATATATAACATATACAATTAAATGTTTTTTGCAACTTCACAATGGTTACACTTTTCACATCATTATGTGCAACCAAAAGTTATGAACAAAGTGCATAACGGAATTCATAAAGTTACTCAGAGATCGTTTAAAAGTTAATTACAATTAATACTTGCTCAAAATCCCAGTTTTATACTGGATTGATTTGTCACTAGTTGTCAGCTTTTTTTGGAAATAAAACAACTTGTATCACTTCATCAAATAGCATAATCTCGTTATGCATAAGTATATGTTCAAAGATAAGCACACTTATTGAGCTTGTTGGAATCCATAAACAGGATACTGCTAGTGTTAACATGAAGAGATACAGTTTTTGTCGGTAGTAACAGCATGAGTACATGTTTTGTCTTACATACAGAAGTTATTTATTAACTTATTTTTGTTATCTACGTGGCTAAAATAGTTGATTTATAAATTATTTTTTTAAATAAGAAATTAAACTTTCAAAACTTGTAGTATTAACATACTAATATCCTAATTATTACTTGGTTGTAATCAACTAAATAAAAAGATGAACTTATATAATTATAATTTTCACATGGAACACACCTGTTAGTATAATAACACTTATTTTGTAAGAAAAGGGGTTTCTGCAGACATTGAATGATGTTTAGTCTTCAACATATACAAATCAAACAAGGATCTACTTCCAACTCTGCATTAAATACTGACTATGAAGTTAGGTACCTGATTAATTAGATACAACAGTTTCTTAAATATTATAAACAATCAAAAATGCTGATTCAAGTCACCAGACAGCTGTTAAAAATTTCTATGATTCTGATTATAATGGTAGCATTAAAGATAGTAGAATAGAAACAAACACAAGTATTAATAGTGGGAGTTTGTTTTGTTGGTGATCCCTACAAAGAGCTACCTTCAACTGTGGAGAAGAACAAAAAAAATTATCTGTTTACAATATGATAAAAAATTAGAATAATTTATTTAAAAGATTAAGAAGCTATTCAATAAATAAGGTTTTCATTTATTAAACTACTTTCGTACAATGGCAACTGGTTGTGTAATATAAGGCTTTTTAACACTCATTCAAGCTCAGCCTTCCTATGTTGAGTCTTATGTTCTTATATATATATTTTTTTAATCAAAAAGAATACTATACTGGGTAGTTTAGGTAGTATATGTAGCATTCATACGATATCTTTTGTCAAGATGTAACATTTGAATCTGGCCACTAAAATTCAGCCTCTTGGCATTTATTTTCCCCAATCTATTTCAGTTCATTGAATTCATCAAAAACATTATGGATATATTTACTTGTTGAAAAATTCAGGTGGAAAAATTAACCCATTAAATTTACCTGGAATAGAAACTCGCATTCCAAGTCACATGAAGTATTTTAGTCACCCGTTTAGTAAGACATTTTGGAAATTAACATTCAATTTTCATAAAGAAACTGTAATAGATAATGTGATAGACATTAAGAAAACAACAAAGTTTTTGCTTTTATTAGAATAAATAGTTCAGCTTTGCTGGATTTTGTTCAAAATGTAGCATGATCTTGGGTGATAAGTTCATAGCTGAATAAGCCAAACTAAAATAGGTTTTTGTTACTCTAATTTCTGATAGGTTTCCATTAAGTAAAAAAAAATGATATTGAGGACATTAAAATAACTATACTCACTCCAACCTTCCTAAGTAAATCTCCAACAATATTTAATGCAGATATTCTGGCTGATGGTGTGAGAGGCACACTACTTCCTTGAATTGATGGTCCTATTAAGTAAACAACACATAAGGAAACTGAACATCTACATAGCAAAAACGCATGCAAAACTTTTAAAAAAATATTACAATCCATGATAACATTAGCTAAGAGAAATCTAACAAAAGTTAAAAAACAATAACATTGTTATTTGATGTATATGTGAACTTACATAATTGTTTCAAAATATCTACATTATACATACATCAAATATACAAATCAACTTTCTACCACTAAAAAATATTACCATAACAGAACATAAAACGTAAATTAGTCTATAGTAGATGAGACACATAAATAAAAATGGTCTTGAACAATAATAGCAGTACGGGTATAAATTTTGTATTTTTGCATTTTACTTAAAGAAAAAAATATTTAAATTTTTCTTGTTCAAATTTCCAACATCTGAAAGATAATTCCTACTACCAAGTATTAAGTAAATTTGTTTCAGACTTCACAAGCCACAGTTAATATTTGGAAAACCTATCAGTCTTAGCTGATGAATTGACACAATTAGACTTAATGAACCTAATTTTAGAATTCATAAATTTCAGTTCCACTAGAGTTGTACAGTCTGTTCCTTAAGCCTAACTTGGGTAATATAGTCAAATACTACATATTTTAATAAACAAAACTGTTTAATTTGATGTGTACTTAAAATTTTTTTTACTTACCTTAAAAAAACACTTAAAAGCTTTTTTCCTTTCAGCAATTGGATAACTATCTCAAGGAGAAATATATTTCCCTTTTAAAGTAAAAATTTCCCATTTTTTAAAGAAATGTCATTGTCCATTTCCCAAACACATTAATTTTGGCATAAGGAATAAGAAATCAGGATGATGCCCTAACAGCCTTTACCTCTGACTGGAGAAACAGTTTGTGTGTGGTTCTCAGTAGTTAACTTGTTAAAATCTATCTCTTTCAATTTCTCAGCTTTCTTGTCATTGTCCACATGTGGAAGAACAGTAATACTGTTGTTATTTTCCTGCTTGTTTATAGACTGATGGATTAACTGCTCTTGTTTTAAATCTGGAATGTCAAATATGAATTAAAGTACTAATACAAGCATATCTTAAAATTACTAGTAAATATTTAGTATGATCAAATTTGAATTGAACTATGAACTGACATGACACTGAAAAAGTATAAATAACAGTAACAAAAACCAACTTATAGGCTAATTTAACAACATACAATTAAGCCTAGAAATTCCTTTTTATGAGAATTATTTCCTGCATTATTGAGTTAGTAAATTACATTAGTTAGACTGTCTGTTGCCATCAGCAATTTATTTCACTTTTATAAATTTGAGTTTGTTTTTGCATTGAAATATTAGCTACTCTTAATATGAGAAAGTGCTTCGTGTACAAAAGAAGTTGGCATGTAAATGAAATTGTTATATCAGAATCTACTGTGAACTTAAGAATAACAGTGAACATTTGTTAAGATAACTTCTAGAACTTATAGTTGATGAATTTAAAACACTTTTATCATCAAGTGGATTTACAAGTGGTGAACCTACCCAACAACAGAAAATAATTACAAAAATATGACAAGTTTTAGTTATTTCTGTTAGATATGGGTTTCATTATATGTAAGGGAAATTGATGGGGGGAGACTAACACTGGTTTTGCCTGGTTATAGCTAAAGTATCATGAATACCAATTAATCAGGGATCAAAATATTACATTCCTGCATTCTCGAGGAATTTCATATTTTTAGTTGGTTTCCCCAATCAGAAATGCATGGTCCATCCATATTCCTTTAGTTATGACCAATGTATGGATGGAATTAAATAAAAAACAATTTATGAGAAAATGCAACTTTACATGAGGGAATGTAATCTTTCTGGTAGCTCTCTCTGGATGAATGTAATTTTATTTCATTACTTCTATCCCTGTTAATATTCAATAACTTTGTACAGTGTTCTTTTATGCAATTTTTAAAGACATAATTTTTCAATCAAAAACTCCAGCTCTAAAAAATTTAACCTACAGTAATCAGTACACTACCTTTAGTGATAGAAACCAATGAAATAAATATCTACTTCATAAGTTATACCAAGTAATATTTATATTATATGATATAAAACTATGTAAATACACACAAAAAAACAACAACTCAACATCCATATTAAGTTTCTACTCTAAAAAGTGATTTTATTTTTAGCATAACTTACCACGTGTTTCATCTTTCAACCTCTGGACCATCATAGCTAAAGTTTCTTTGTCATCTAGTTCACTTTCAAGAAAAGCATTTCTCTCAATAGCCTATTAGAAACACTTACAAAATTAGATTAAAAGGCAAAGAAAAAACAAAAGTTTAAATTTATAAAGTTAGTTCATAAAATTAGTACTAGAATACCTAGAAAGAATCTAGTACTTCAACTAATATCTAGATATGGGTACATCAGTGTAAGTGAAGTACTCAATGTGTACTATTGAGTAAAGTTCAGTAAGAGTTAATGTTTCTCTAAGTTAACCAGTAAATTAAGCAGTATTTGTCATCAACCAAGAAAATTTCTCTTAAATGTTATTAGTGTATTAAGCCTACAGCAGTTTCAGAATTTATGTAAAACAAAAAGTTTGTTTGTGAACTTAGGCCTACAACTTGCATCAAAGTGAATGTAGCCTGCAGCAAATGGTATTGAAGAAATAATTCAATTTCTTATTGCTACATAAACTGTCCTTCTCATTACTTTCACCAAATAATTAAAAAGAATCCAACCAATGATTGAAAAATATTACAACAATATAATGAAAGGAATGTACACTATACTGGTACTCTGATATAAGTCATATATATATATATATATATATATATAT